TAGAATTATTTAGAGAAAATTTTAAAATTCTAATTATTTGAATATCATGTCGTATTTGTTTTATCCTAAGTCAAATTAGTCTAACTTTGACCATGATTATAGGAGAATATATCAAAATCTAACACATCAAAGTAATTTCACTTAATCATAATTTGTTTAAGCTTAAGATTTATTTGGTTATGTATATGTTAACATTTTTTTCAAAACCTAGTCAAAATTAGAGAAATTTGACTATGAACAAAACAAAAGTAACTTACAACTTGAAATATAGGAAGTGGCATGTAGGTTTGGACATTTGTATGGGAGTTTTTTTAAATGGAATTGTTTCTGGTCCACGCGATCACACCCACAACCAAGTTTTTACAATTTTTCAGCTAATGAGTTGAACAAAAAAAGGAAGAAAATATGACAAAACAAATGAAAAAAACATAAGCAAAGTCTATTATTGCTTCGCCTAGAACCGCTATTATTCTTGGCGAATGTAAGGAAAATGGACTCTAGGTCCATTTACTTTGTATTTTGGTGTTTGATGACCAACACAATCAAAATGGACTAATGAATTTGCAAGTGATTGTTTTGTAGTCCAAGAAGAAGACCATCACAAAAGGCGAGGGCACAAGCACTCATCATCAAGCACTTTACGAGTGTGCCTTATGGCACAAGGTAACAAAAAGTCTATCCCTAGTGATAATGACAATGATGGTGATAGTGATGATGAGTTACCTTCTTATGATGAAATTGTGCAAGAAAATCTTAACTTTGCTAAAGTTTACACTAGTCAACAAAAGAAGCTTGAAAAATTAAAAGAAAAACTTGATAGCTCACAACAAGCTTATGCTACTTTGCTTGAAGAATATGAAACTTTTGCCAATCTTAATATGGAGCTATCTACTAAAATTGAGCAACTTGAGGCTAGTGCAACAACAAATAATTGCACAATCAATGATGAGCAACTTGTAAAGAAAAATGAAAAATTAAAGAAAAAGTTAGCTAGCTCACAAGATGCTTATAAAAGTTTGCTTGCTAAAATAGAAACTATGTGCAAACATTATGATGAGCTAACTAATAAAGTTGCTAATCTTGAAGCCATCAGTACAACCTCCACCGAGGTACCTAAAAAGATAGGTTCAATTTTTGACATGCCTAAAAAGGATGTCTCTACTTCTTGTAATGATTTATGTTTAGACTCACCCATGTGCAACCAAGTTTGTGTTGAGAAAGTTGTTGTAGAAACATGCACACAAGAGGTCGCAATGGAGAATGAGCAACTCAAGCAAGAAGTGGCTCGCCTCACCAAGGACTTGACTCAAGTGAAAGGCAAGACGAAGCAAGCCCAACTTCATCAAGATAACACCGTCAAGGGAGTGAAGAAGCTTGATGAAGGACAAACCATGGTTTTTGCTACGTATGTCACAACGAAGGCCACAAGTCCTATGAGTGCAAGGTGAAGAATGGGGGAGGAGCTAAGAAGAAAGAGAAAAAGCAAATAAGTAAGCTCTCTAACACCTACACCAACAAGGTGGACAAGAAGGCCTCCACACCATACTTGTTAAAGAAGAAGAAAAATGACAAGGTGATGGCCATCAAGGTGAACAAGCAAGCCACCAATGGGGTCAAACGTTTTTGGGTGCCAAAGGAGATCATTTCAAATATGAAGAGCACCAAGAAGGTTTGGATCCCGAAAGGGAAGTGAGAAGTCCGATGGACTTCGGGGAATTTGGAGACTTGGTAAAGTATGGGTGCATTTCATGGAGTGCATCATTATGGACAATGTCAATTGCCAAGTGAGTTAGTGAATACTATAGACCCAAATTCTCCTTCACATGTTAGGTAGCTAGATTTAATTTTTTACAATTGGTATCTTTTAGCATCTAGTTACTTTTTATGCCTAGGTTTACATTTGCATGCTTATATCTTTTGTCATGCATACACTAGGTATATCTTATGGTAGGCTTGCTCGGTTTCACTCCTAACCCTTGGAGCAAACCTACATAGTTTAAATTGTTTAAGAGCACGACACATAGCTTGTTTTACATTTGTTCATCTAATATGTGCCAAAGTCCAAATTGTAGATAATTTCTTTCGAATATCACCTTCGAAAATGATTCTCACATTCATGTGATGTCATCTTTCAAGTGGTATTTTTTATTCTAAAATCAATGTGCATGTCTCCTACAAGTATTCCATGCTTGTGTGTATAAATTTCGGGGGGTTATTCTATAAGTTGGATGCTTTGAGACTAACACCTTTTCAAGCTTATCATGTGTGTAGTAGTCTCATTGTAAGGAAAATGGAGTCCCAGAGTTAAGCATCATACTTCAAATATCCACCACCTATTGCAAGTGGTATAAATCAAATTGGTTTCCACATGTGGTATTTCTAAACCAATATCATCATGTTGATTTTATTTTGATATTTATATGCCTTCTCCATGCATTATATAGATTAAATTCCCTTGAGCAATAGTTTGCCAATTATGCATGTGCTTTGCCTTCTACCATATGTATGCATATATTTAGGGGGAGCTTAGTCTATATCATGTGAGAGTCAAATTTTGTGACCTATTCCACTCCACATACAAAGAATCACAAAGTTTGACCCTCCCTTATGCTACTAATGTCTTTCTTTTTGGTGTTTGATTCCAAATGGGGAGAATTCGTAGGACCAAAAGCAAGCATTAATTTGTAGGACCAAGCCTGATCATAATAATTTACAAGTAGTAATGGTCCGAGAAAAGGAGGATAGTTGATTATGGATTAGTCTATGTAATGGGGAGAATTTATAGGACCAAAAAACAAGGCTTAAATCCATAATGCCACATGGGGACATTTGCAAGGGCAAGATAACTTTTCAAAGATGTTTACATGTGGTACCTTTTAGCTTTATAATTAGTATCTTTTAGCATCATATAACCTTGCCCTTTGCATTGCATCCTAGCAAGTAAATAATTTTTAAAGTTCAAAATTTTTATTATTTGCTTGTTTTGGTCGTGTTGTCATCAATCACCAAAAATGGGGAGAATATAAGGAAAATGGACCCTAGGCCCATTTACTTTGGATTTTGGTGTTTGATGACTAACACAACTAAATTGGACTAATGAATTTACAAGTGATTATTTTATAGTCCAATAGGGTGTAAGACGTGACTTGGACGAAGGCGACGTGATGATCCGATGATCAACACCATAAGCAAGACCCTAGAAGCATAAGAGAAGACCTAAGATATCAAGCATAGTCCAAGCACGAAGATAGAAACCAAACCGGACGCAAGATTGTGAAGAAAATGAGCTCACAGTGATGACCGGACGCAGCACTGGACGCTAGCGGCATAGCGACCGGATGCTTCGATCAAGAGGCCCGGCAACAGCGGGCGTCAGCAGCAGCGATCGGACAATGAGGACTGAAAGTGATCAGACGCAACGATGGCACTATTCATCATCCTGGCAACACACTTAGCACTGACCGGACACTGGCGGCTAATCGACCGGACGCAGGAACTGCAACGTGCAATCGAGTACAGAGAGGTTCTAGAGCGGCGAAGTTGCGACCGGACGCGTCTGGTGGCATGTGACCGGACGCCATTAGCGTCCGATCAGTTGATCGCGCGCTCTAACGGTCGGGACGACCGAACGTGTCCAGTCAGGACGACAGCAGCGTCTGGTCAGTAGCAGAAAAGCGGGATTTCGTCCTCAACGGCTACTTTCTCCATGTGGCTTATAAATAGACCCTCCAACCGGCCATTTGAGTTGAGTGGAGCTGAGAAAACATACCAAGGGTGTTGATACACCATTTTAGTGATCTTCACTTGCATAGTTCTTAGTTATTTATTAGGTAATTAGCGTATGTACTTTACGAAGAGCTTAGGTTTATTAGACCACCGCTTATACGCTTGCTCTAGGTTTAGGCCTAGTGTTTAGTGAGGTTTGCATATCTCTTAATACTCGGTGCTTGCGCGTACCATTGTTGTACATCGGAGGGGCTTGTAGTCTTGCGAGATCACACCAACTGCGTTTGTGGTGTGGACGCCACCGTATATCGAAGGAAACAAGGTCCGCGGTGATTTGGCCGAAAGCTTGATAGTGAAGATGGCGGGAGCGGTCCGGAGAGACTTGTCGGAAGGCACACCGGAGACCCACTTGCGCGTGGGGAAGGTCCGGGGCTATCCATGAAGTTACCCGACCGGGAGCTTGGCCCTTGCGAGGGATTCCTTGTGAGGGGCTCCAACGAGGATTAGGGGGAAGTTTACGCGCTTCTTGATACCTCGATAAAAATACCGGAGTCGTTGACGGGAGTTTGCATCTCTCTCTACCTTACTCTTTATCTTCCGTATTTACATTGATGGTATTACTCCTTTTACGATAGATATAACAACACACTAGCAAAACAATAGTTGCACATTTAGATAGTTTATCTTTTGCATATATTTTGCTAAAAGTAGAAAAAGAGGCTATAGTTTAGAGTCGAAATTTTAAGTTACCTAATTCACTCCTCTCTCTCAGACGTCACAGTCCCCTGCAGCGAAGAAATCGAGAGCAACAACCAACAGCCTCAAAAACTCTACTTGCTAAATGGACAGTCCATCTTGTGTCCCCATGCTGGACAAATCCTTAGAACCGCAGCCAATATGCTGTCAGGTATCTTGTATAAGAGAAATATATTATTTTTCTAAAAAAATATTATGTGTACATCAAATTGCCTATAAAAAAGCTGCAGCCCCGCAAAGATCAAATACCTTTCATTTTCTGCTATGTCCGTTAACCAATTCCAAGCATATAAGATATGGATCTAGGTGATGTTAACCTAGTAGCTATATGAATAATTCTCCAAATAAGTAGTGGTTATTTCAGGGAAGGAAATACAAGCTGCTGCTATCCAGAGCAGGTTCAGCCGTCTGCCTGTCTCCATCAACGCAACGCAACTCCGCGAGCGCAGCCAGGTGGGTGCCCAGAGTGGAGCGGAATGTGGAGCCTGAGAGTTTGACCTCATTTCCCTTGGAGCTTCATGGAGCCCTGCGAGATGCCAAGAGTGAAACTTGGCGCTCAGGGTCTCGAGGTAACTAGCCCCATTGCTGATCGCCTGATCCCAGCCCCGGCATCCCCAGCCCCCAGGCGTTGCGCGACTGAGAACGGGCGAGCTTTCTTCTTGATGTGTCAGCTTTGTGTGTTGTATGAGATCAAAAAAGCTTTGTGTGTTGTAGGTGTCTAAGGTCGGTTTCGGGTGCATGGGCCTCTCCGGCATCTACAACTCCCCGGCGCCCCACGAGGACGGCGTGGCCCTCGTCAAGGCCGCATTCAGTGCCGGGGTCACCTTCTTTGACACCGCCGACGCCTACGGGCCTCACACCAACGAGGTTCTGCTCGGGAAGGTTGGAATTTTTCTTTTCTTTTCCCCTGTATCCCATTCCCAGTGCAGGCACTATTCTTTCTGATTCATCTGGTTGGAGATGGATGAATTTTGCTGCAAGGTTTCGAATTCGGATGCGGAAGCGAAGCCAATTCAGCTGTGAAATGATAGGATTTGGTAGGATGGATGGAATCAGATTCTGTTCTGAAAACAAAAAATGCTGGTTTCAGGAGTGGCCATCTTCCAAACTGTGAACTGATGGGAGATCAGCGCAAAGCGGCAAACTGAATGATGTTAGTGGTGGCTTTCGCAGATTGGGTCTAGAGTTAATCATTTTTTTTAACGAGAATGTGTTATACAATTAGATTTAACAATGCAAACAGACCTTAGATGGGTCTTTTCCCTTTTGATTTATATGAAGACTGAAGATGTGAGTGGGTCTCCAATTATGTTGAATGGGATCATTTCTATCAAATGCCTTTTTTCCTCTGAATATGGTGCTTATTGGTTCATAACTAGATGCAACTTCAGGGCAATTCATTGATTACAGAACATAATAGTTGTGTAGATGCTGAAAAAAGAATCTCGTGATTGCCAGATAGATGTTGTTAAACCCCTGACAGAACTATCCTGCCTAATTTTGTTTCCAGATCTTGGAGACACATCCCTCGGTTTTAATAAGTACATAAAACTGTCAACTATGATATTTGATAGTATTGTTCAAGAATATGTATTCTTCCTGAACATGATGATGGACAGGGCAGGCACTGAAGCAGTTGCCCCGCGAGAAGGTGCAAGTGGCCACCAAATGTGGCATTGCAGGATTCAAGTTGAACAACATCTGCATAAAGGGGACACCAGAGTATGTCCGTGAATGCTGCGAAGGCAGCCTTGCACGCCTAGATGTCGAATTCATTGACCTCTATTACCTGCACCGCATTGATCAGTCGGTTCCCATAGAGGAAACTGTGCGTATCTGTGCCTTGGCATTGTAAACTTGACTCAGCAAGTAGGAAAGGTTTGCAAATCTGATAGCTGCTTTCTAATACAATGTTAGATGAGTGAGCTCAAGGAGCTGGTCCAAGAAGGGAAAGTGAAATACATTGGCATGTCTGAAGCAAGCGTGGATACCATAAGGTGCGCTCATGCGGTTCACCCTCTCACTGCAGTGCAGATAGAATGGTCTCTATGGGCCAGGGATATAGAGGAAGATATAGTGCCACTATGCAGGTATGTGTATGTCTGCTTGCAATGATATTTTGAAATCCAATGTTCTTACAGTCTCATTTTGCCACTTGGGATGCTTCCATATATCTATTCTGGCAGTAAAATAGCTGCTTTTCAACACATCATACATAGTTTGACTGAATAATACCACAGTTCAATTATCATAAGTTAGTTTAGTGCTAGGACAAGCTCCCATCCTTTTCTTTTACCACTATTTCCATGCTTTCTATTTTAGTGCTTGCCTCAGCGGTATTTAATATTTTTTCTATTGCTGACTGAATTTCTATGGATTAGGGAGCTTGCCATTGGAATTGTTTCATACAGTCCGCTTGGTCGGGGTATTTTTGCTGGAAAAGCAGTTGTGGAGAACCTACCACCAAACAGTTTGCTGGTACTAATATTTTAACGATGAACACTTCAGATTTCGTTACAATTACCTTCCACCATAATAGGTACAAGAAATCTGCTCATATAGCTGGGATTATTTAGCTCCCTTTCAGTCTGTGGATCCCAGGTACACCGGAGAAAACTTGGAGAAGAACAAAGTTCTATATGAGTGTCTGCTGAACTTGTCTAAAAAGCACAACTGTAGCCCCTCACAACTCGCACTATCTTGGGTCCTTCATCAAGGAGATAATGTTGTTCCAATCCTGGTAATCGTTTTTGTGAATTCTACAAGGACACTCATCATGCTGTAGCTAATCATTTTCTCAGGAAGACATATTTCAATTCTGGGATGATTGCTACTGGCAAATTACTCTGATCATTGTGAAAATTCCCTCCAAGAATATCAGTCCAGAACTATCTTTATGTTGAAAAGAAACTAGGTGGCAGAAAATAAATGGGAGTGTAGTATATCTTGTGTTCATTTAAGCTACAACTATGAGCCATTCCTGACTTTCAAACCCAACAACTCTGAATAAATTTTCCAGAAAAAAATTCTCCTACTAAAAACTATCGGAAGTCAGAATTAGCATTTGCGTTTCAGTAATCAGTATTCTGGAAAGGCAGCCTGAGATAGCATGCAACTTGCATTAAATGTTTGGTGCTACACTTTCAGGAACCTAACGTTTTCTGAACTGTCCCTGACCACAGGAACTACAAAACTGAAGAACCTGAGCAGTAACATTTTTTCAGTAAGAATTAAGCTGAGTAAGGATGACCTGAAAGAGATTTCAGATGCAGTACCTGCAAGCGAAATAGCAGGTCCAAGGGTTTACCCATCCTTGGAGTGCTATTCCTGGAGATATGCAAACACGCCGCTTCAGAAGTAGTCATTATCATATTTGAACGCCGATTTCATGCTTGGCAGCTCCAAAATGTTGTAACTGTTTGGATATCTGCTATCTGAATTTTGACATATCTGAAAGCAAAATTACATTAAGAGGCCATTTGGATCCCTTTATTTTGGAGGAGTTAAAATCTACTTAATGGATTAGACTATTTGGCTTGGAATTTGACATTCCATAACTTTTCCAAGCTCACAAATAAGCATATCTCAAATTCATAAGGTGCGAGATGGAAATAGATTCTATAAATCACTATGTTATAATTCTACTCTCCAACTTATAGCACACTCTTCAACTCACTTCTCTACAATAGAAATGCAACATATAAGTATGTCCCTTATATGCCTAACAATAAATATACAAATATATACCATATACAACTATATTAGCTTAATTAATCTATGTCTAAATTTTAATTATTAGAATGAATTCAATTTTAAGAATCTAAACGGGCCTAAGATCTTTTTATTGTTGTATCATCAGTCTTCTTTTGGTAGTCCGCTCTGGAAGCACTGAAATTGCAAAACTGAACAGAGTTTCTTTGATTTGAATACCTGCATTCATCGGTACCAAACAACACATACAGCAACCAGCTAGCAGAAACCCATGCCAATAAGGAACATTTGATTCATCACATCACATCAGCACACACTGTTGGGACATAGATATGAGTAGTGGAGGCCCCTATGAAACAACAAATGTTTACGTGTTTTATGGTGCGCAAGTATACCTGGAGGAGCCTTCGGGACCGACCGCTGGCCTGGCGAAGAACAAAGAGCAGGGACGCCGAGGAAAGCCTTCGCCTCTGACCACCTGAAGGGCGAAGGCCCGAGCGCGGTTTTCCGAAGGTACCTGGGGCAGCTCTCCGGTGGAGGTCACAGAGCGCAAGCGGAGGCTCAAGCATTTCAAGCGAAAGGCAGTCTGATCCCTGCCCAAGAGAAGGAAGCTATTACAGCACTACGGCCTAGAGTCGGAAATGGGCCTTCCACGGGCCTGCGGCTGAGGCCCAAGCGCCAAAGGTGGTGCAGAAGGAAAAGACCTAGGATGCCCCTGAAGATTTGAACTAGTCTTAGGATATTCTGAGAATGTACCTTAGCTGACAAAGGGCAGAGATGTACAATGAAATAGTAGTACACGGAGCCTTATAAAAGGGGGGACTAAACCCAATGTAGAGGAGGTTGGTGAATGCATTTATGAAACCCTAATTGAGACTGGGTCCATATAACATCTTTCTAGCCTTCGCCCTGGGCATCCGGCTGGGCAAAGGTCCCTCTGTGTCCCACTTGCTGGAAACCTAGTTTTCCAACATTGGTGCCTACCATGTGTTGGCCAAGAAAAACCCACAATAGCAAGAAAGAGAGCAGCCTCCGCAAGAGCACCTTCGGAGCCTACCAGAAGAGGGAGGCCTAGGCGTGGCACCCGCAGCACATACGCTACCGCTACTGAAGAGCCAGACATAGAAGAAGACGTTGCGGAGGATCAGCCTGTGGCGACCGAGGAGCAGCCGGCGCAAGAACCAACCCCAGAGCAGCTGCTCCAACAGCTCCAAGCTCAGTTGCAGAGTACGTAGCAGGAGAGAGATAGGTTGGCCGCAAACTTCACCGCAAACCAGAGGGCAGTCCAAGCATCACTGTAGGCAGCGGAGATCAGGCAACAACTGGCTGTTTTGCAAGCTCAAATACAAAGCATGCAAACCACTCAGCCTCCTTCCAACACACCCAGCCAATCCCATTCAGCAAATCAAAGCCAATCCAACCCTTCGCCAGGAACCAACCTTCAGCACTCCTTATACCTCACCACCAGTCCACAAAACTAAAGACCCCAAATCCCCCCTGTCTGAAGGAATCCAAAACCCACCCTGGCCCTCCTCCTATAAACCCATTACCCTACCCAAATTCAATGGGAGATCCGATCCGCGCCAGTTCATCATGAGTTTTGAGGCAGCTGTAGCCTCCGCAGGCGGGAATGACACTGTCTTGGCCAAGTTATTTGTTATTGCAACCGAAGGCGATGCATTGGCATGGTACTCAATATTGAGGCCAAGTTTAGTATATTCATGGGAGGACCTCCGTGACAAGATCATCGCTAATTTCAAAGGATTCACCACCGAATCCTTGACGTCAATGGACTTATTTCAGTGTAAACAAAATCAAGGAGAAGCCTTGAGGGATTATTTTCAGAGATTAGTGTAGCTTAAAGCGAAGGCACCAAATGTCCTAGAGGATGTGGCAATCGAAGCCGCAATTAAAGGTATCCGCATCGGAGGCTTCACAGATCATCTAGCTCCGGAGAAGCCAAGCACCATAGAAGAGCTATACAGAGAGTTTGAGAAGTATTGCAGGTCAGATAATGACCTTTGCAGAAGGCTAGAAGAGCAAAATTAGAACAAACAATACCAAGAAAATAGCAGGAATGCTCAAAGGGGCAACAGAAGCCAAGGCCAGTCGTAGCCTCAGCAAGCGCCAGATCAACAAGTTTTTAATATAGAGCAGCAAGGGGACAGCCAGCAACGGCAGTAGATGCCGGAGGCAGCCCCGAACAAAGCACCATAGAAGCAGCACAAAAGCAAGAAATACAATCAAGGGAAGAACTAAAACAAAAACCAGGAACCTAGACAGCGAAGGCAGTACTATTTTTTATGGAGAGAACAAAGGGCACATCACCAAAGATTGCCCAGATGCAAAGGAAACTCAAGAGAGGATAAAGAATAGGGCAAACCCTCAACCTCCGCAACAACAATCCATCAGAGAAGTCAACCATACCTTCACTGCACCCTCACAACAACCATATTACCCAATCTACCCAAGCCTTAACTCCAGTCAAATCCACCCATCCACCTTAGCAGCTGCATACTACCCTAACTTCCTACCCGCTTGGTGACCAACTACACAGCAGCAAGGGCAGGCCAATAACCAGCGTGCAGAAGCCAACCTCACCTACATAAACCCAAGGCCTCCGCACATAACATTCATAGAGACAAACCGCTAGCTCAAGTTCATAATAGACAACTTGAAGCATTACCTCCACTACCACCTCCGCCGCAGCTAGCTGCACCCAAAAACGAGCTCAACCCAGAAAATCAGCTCAACCCTCATACACCACTACCCACCATTGGCATGATACTACCAATAGCCAAAGGCTCTTCAATGAAATTCCAGACAAAGAAGCAAAAGAAAGATAATCTTAGGTTTGTCAACAACATAGCATTGCAGGGTCCAGTACGCTGCACAGATTGATCGAAGACACCCATCACATTTTCAGAGCAAGACTTGCAGTTGGAAAGTTATCCCCACGCCGACGCTATGGTGATCAAGGCCAATATAGCAGGCTAGGAAGTTAACAGGGTCCTAATAGACTCTAGGAGCTCAGAAGATATCATCTTCGTCAATGTCTTCGATCAGATGAAGTTAAGCAGAAGCCAACTATAGCCTTTTAACTCCCCATTGATTGGCTTCGGATGAAAGAAAATTGACGCATTAGGAAAAATCTCTTTGCCAGTGTCCTTTGAAGGTCAAGAAAATGCAAGAACCGAGTACGTAACCTTTGACGTAGTAGACCTCTACTATCGGCAGAGGGTTTGCAAATAGGTTCAATGCAACAATCCATATGGGTTATTTGTGGATGAAAATGCCTGCTTTGCACGGCATCATCACAGTCCATAGCAACCAAAAGGAGGCAAGAAACATAGAAAGAGCCATCTACAAGTCCCAGTGCAACATCAATACCATCGAGACGGCCAGCAGCAATGCACCGAAGCCTCTGGATATGCCAAAGGGCAAAACAGATCTCAAGGACCAAGAAGAAATAAAATTAGTCCCCCTGGAGAACGCAGTCCCGGATAGAAAAGTAATTATCGGAGGCAAACTTTCAAAGGAAGAAGAAGCAAAACTAATAGAGACCCTAGCCAAAAACAAAGATGTCTTCGCCTGGTCAGCCTCCGATCTATAAGGAGTCAGCAGAGACATAATTTAGCATTCACTCGACTTGAATCCAAAAGTAAGGCCAAGAAAGAAGCGGCAAAGGAAAATGTCAGAAGACAGAATTCTGGCAGCGAAGGCAGAGGTCCAGAGATTGCTAGATGCAAAGGTTATCAGAGAAGTCAAATATTCAGAGTGGCTGGCAAATGTAGTATTGGTGCCAAAGAAAAATGGGAAAATGAGAATGTGCATAGATTTCATAGATCTAAACAAAGCTTGCAAAAAAGGCTCGTTTCTACTACCAAGGATCGATACATCCGTCGACAAGACGGCGGGTTGCAAGCGCTTTTCACTCCTGGATTGCTTCTCAGGATATCACCAAATCTGGCTCAACAAAGAAGATGAGAAGACAAGTGTCACTACTCCCTTTGAAACTTATTGCTACATCAGAATGTCTGAAGGGCTAAAAAATGCAGGTTCAACCTTCACCAGAATGACGAAGGCGGTTCTTGGCCCTCAGCTACAAAAAAACATTATAGCTTATGTTGATGACATTGTAGTAATGAGCAAGAATGAAGAAGACCACATAGCAGATCTAAAAGAAACATTCGCCAATCTCAGGGAAGTAGGCCTCAAACTCAACCCAAAAAAGTACGTCTTCGGTGTCAGCAGAGGAAAAATGCTTGGGTACATCATAGAGCCCGAAGGCATAAGGGCAAACCCAGAAAAAATGAAGGCTATAATCGCAATGGTTGAACCATCAACCAAAAAGGAAGTCCAAAAGCTCACTGAAAGGATAGCAGCATTAAATAGATTTATCTTGAAATTAGTAGAACGTAGCCTCCCATTCTTCAAAGCCCTGAGAGGTGGAGACAAGGTGGAATGGGGGCCAGAACAGTCGAAGGCTTTCCAGCAACTCAAAAGCTACATAGCTGGCAAGCTCTTGGTGACAGTACCAGACCCGGAGGCACCACTATTGTTATATGTCATAGCCTCCGACCATGCAGTCAGTGGGGTCCTAGTTCAAGAGAAGGAACAAGAGTCGAAGGTCGTTCAACAGCCTGTCTA